TATTTGTTGCGTTCATTTGAATTGATATTGATTTTGAATCAATCATTTGGAGGTAAAACTGTTATCTCATCAAAATTGATCAGTATTTGTAAATGTGTTGTCAATTCATTATAAGATTTTATTATTAAATCATATAAATGGACAAAATATTTGTTTAATTACTTTGCGAATAAAACTTAATTAAAAGTAATTTTGATTCTTTATTATTGGTAAAAATTTTAAGTATTTTTGCCCATAGTTATTTATGTACAACATTTGATTAGATCCCAAATGATATTGAAACTATTCATGATTGTCAACGTTGTTATAGATTTATTTTATGAAATTATAATTTGGGACAACTTATATATTTAAAATTATCGTTTTTTGGTTAAATATAAATATTTTATATTAAAAAAGTGACCATGGCGAATAATTCTAATCTTAATTGCTATACATTTTGTAAATGTAATTCTATAAGTACTGTATATCTTAAACAAATATGCAATACCTTTATAAAGAGTTTATTCTTGTACTGTACGGCAAAATCCATTATATTATTATTTAATGTTAAAACATTAACATTTATTTTAAAAATAACTTTCTCAACTTTATAATACTGTATTATTTATACATGCATAGTATAATTCACATGATCTATTTGACACATGATTTATAGTAAATTAATTCCTTAAAACATTATATTTTGACTGTTTTCAAACAAATTCAACATATAAAATAATTTGAAATTATCCCCTTGAGCATTTAATATTAAATTACTTTCATACATGTGTACCGTTTATTAGTATTCTTAACCAATCATTCAAACCAAAGTTATCTCTTTCAAATTGAGCCCATCATATCTTACAATAACACTTTACGACACAATTTATTCAACACTTTGAATATATAATTAGAAATACGTTTGGGTTTCGTGTTTTTATTTTATACATTCATTTATAATAATTGTTATTAAATAAGTTTTTAATTATTTTATATCCAAAGCCATATTGAATGGAAGGGACCAGCGATTTAGTCGATGCCATCGATATAACACTCGCGTAAGATTTAATAGTCATTTAATAAATAATTTAATTTTAAAATTATCTGTATTTGGTACAATTTTAATCCTTTAATAGTTTAATATTAAATTTAATTGCAATAAATTGATTATTAATAAGAATAATTCAATGATCGAGAAAAAATATGATATGCAAACATTAATAAATTAATAAATATTTATTCTATTTTGATTATTTGATATAACTTATATGAAATGAAGTGCGGGACAGGCGAGTGCAGCGATTGGTGTAATCAATATCGCTATCAATAGCGCTGATTATGATATGAAACACCGAAATCGGGGTAAATGTTTGGTTTTAAATCACGAGAAATTTGACCAAAACACAGGGTGTGAGCCCCGGGAGGGCACCAAAGAGGATGTCGACCGTATAGTCAGATGTTTTCAAAGACTACAATTTGTTGTTGAGGTTGTAAAGGACGGTACACTTCAAACCATTGAAACTAAAATGCAACAAGGTTGACTAGTTTTATACTGGAAAATCAATTTTAGACACAATTTTAATTGAATTAAAATTAAGTTTCCGATGCGGACCACTCGGACAGCGACTGTGTTGTAGTTGTGGTGCTAACACACGGCGACGGACAGAGCCTTTGGGCCCGAAATGTCAAATACCCGACGGAAACATTGTTTGAGTACTTTAATGGCAATCGTTGTCCGACACTTATAGGCAAACCCAAAATCTTTATAATTCAAGTATGTATTACATTCTGGGAACAGATAATTTTAAAAATAACAAACTATATATTGAAGGCCTGTCGGGGAGTGAAGGTAGACCCGGGGTCAACGTTAAAAGCTCTCGGGCCTACACCTGCCCCTACATCTACCCCCACAACTCCTCGCCGTATTTACACTATACCAACAAACGCTGATTTTCTCGTTTATTACAGCACTTCTCCCGGTATTTGATATGCAATTTAAATTATTGTTTTATTATATATCTTATAAAATTGTTTTTGAATTATTTATCATTTCTAATATTTAGGTCATTATTCGTTCCGGAATCCGGTCACCGGCTCTTATTTCATCGACTATTTAGTATACGTTTTGAACAATTATTGTTATAATAGTAACAATCAATGCAATTACAACCTGGTCACTCTATTTACAATTGTTAACCAATTGGTTGCCATTCATTTTGAATCCAATAATACAAAGAGACCAGAGATTCACGGGAAGAAACAAATGCCGGTTTGTTNTATCCCAAAATCGACTTCATATTCGTGTTCAGCGTTAAAATTTACATTAATTTGATGGTTAAAAAAATTAATTTAAAAACATTTGCTGGGCCCACCCTTCTGTTTTTGTACCAAAAGTGCTGCACATGTGTTCTTATATATGCCCACATTATTGATGAACAGGTCTAATACACGCTATACAATATTTTGTACAGTTAAAGGCGTAACCATAGCAGCGTGTTTTCTTGGATGCCAACATCTCTATATATTCTATAGTTAAATCATATAAATGGACAAAATATTTGTTTAATTACTTTGCGAATAAAACTTAATTAAAAGTAATTTTGATTCTTTATTATTGGTAAAAATTTTAAGTATTTTTGCCCATAGTTATTTATGTACAACATTTGATTAGATCCCAAATGATATTGAAACTATTCATGATTGTCAACGTTGTTATAGATTTATTTTATGAAATTATAATTTGGGACAACTTATATATTTAAAATTATCGTTTTTTGGTTAAATATAAATATTTTATATTAAAAAAGTGACCATGGCGAATAATTCTAATCTTAATTGCTATACATTTTGTAAATGTAATTCTATAAGTACTGTATATCTTAAACAAATATGCAATACCTTTATAAAGAGTTTATTCTTGTACTGTACGGCAAAATCCATTATATTATTATTTAATGTTAAAACATTAACATTTATTTTAAAAATAACTTTCTCAACTTTATAATACTGTATTATTTATACATGCATAGTATAATTCACATGATCTATTTGACACATGATTTATAGTAAATTAATTCCTTAAAACATTATATTTTGACTGTTTTCAAACAAATTCAACATATAAAATAATTTGAAATTATCCCCTTGAGCATTTAATATTAAATTACTTTCATACATGTGTACCGTTTATTAGTATTCTTAACCAATCATTCAAACCAAAGTTATCTCTTTCAAATTGAGCCCATCATATCTTACAATAACACTTTACGACACAATTTATTCAACACTTTGAATATATAATTAGAAATACGTTTGGGTTTCGTGTTTTTATTTTATACATTCATTTATAATAATTGTTATTAAATAAGTTTTTAATTATTTTATATCCAAAGCCATATTGAATGGAAGGGACCAGCGATTTAGTCGATGCCATCGATATAACACTCGCGTAAGATTTAATAGTCATTTAATAAATAATTTAATTTTAAAATTATCTGTATTTGGTACAATTTTAATCCTTTAATAGTTTAATATTAAATTTAATTGCAATAAATTGATTATTAATAAGAATAATTCAATGATCGAGAAAAAATATGATATGCAAACATTAATAAATTAATAAATATTTATTCTATTTTGATTATTTGATATAACTTATATGAAATGAAGTGCGGGACAGGCGAGTGCAGCGATTGGTGTAATCAATATCGCTATCAATAGCGCTGATTATGATATGAAACACCGAAATCGGGGTAAATGTTTGGTTTTAAATCACGAGAAATTTGACCAAAACACAGGGTGTGAGCCCCGGGAGGGCACCAAAGAGGATGTCGACCGTATAGTCAGATGTTTTCAAAGACTACAATTTGTTGTTGAGGTTGTAAAGGACGGTACACTTCAAACCATTGAAACTAAAATGCAACAAGGTTGACTAGTTTTATACTGGAAAATCAATTTTAGACACAATTTTAATTGAATTAAAATTAAGTTTCCGATGCGGACCACTCGGACAGCGACTGTGTTGTAGTTGTGGTGCTAACACACGGCGACGGACAGAGCCTTTGGGCCCGAAATGTCAAATACCCGACGGAAACATTGTTTGAGTACTTTAATGGCAATCGTTGTCCGACACTTATAGGCAAACCCAAAATCTTTATAATTCAAGTATGTATTACATTCTGGGAACAGATAATTTTAAAAATAACAAACTATATATTGAAGGCCTGTCGGGGAGTGAAGGTAGACCCGGGGTCAACGTTAAAAGCTCTCGGGCCTACACCTGCCCCTACATCTACCCCCACAACTCCTCGCCGTATTTACACTATACCAACAAACGCTGATTTTCTCGTTTATTACAGCACTTCTCCCGGTATTTGATATGCAATTTAAATTATTGTTTTATTATATATCTTATAAAATTGTTTTTGAATTATTTATCATTTCTAATATTTAGGTCATTATTCGTTCCGGAATCCGGTCACCGGCTCTTATTTCATCGACTATTTAGTATACGTTTTGAACAATTATTGTTATAATAGTAACAATCAATGCAATTACAACCTGGTCACTCTATTTACAATTGTTAACCAATTGGTTGCCATTCATTTTGAATCCAATAATACAAAGAGACCAGAGATTCACGGGAAGAAACAAATGCCGGTTTGTTATATACTTTAATTATAATAAATGTATAAATTATTTATTTTTTAATCTGATTTTGATTTGTATTTCACAGCACATCTCATCAATGCTCACGAGATTAATATACTTCAGACCAAAACCGTAAAAAAGTTAATGTTTAAATTTTTAATTAATTATATAAATGCATCAAAATTTATAAATTCATATAATTTGAGACAAATTCTTTGTGTTTAAATAAAAAGGCAGATATTTCTCAATGTATTAATTATTTGTTAAAATTTTTATTAAAATTGAGAATTTATGTCAATTTTCATACATTGCATAAAATATTGAAGCAATTAAAGTGTATTTGTGTTAATGAATGTACACTAAAACAATACTTTTTATTCAAACATTTTACGTAATATCCGATTAATTTAAGCCAATCATCCAAAGCAGTGATAATTGTTATCACTTATAAAAAAAAGTGAAATCATAAATTGATATTTACTTACTGTATGTAATGTCAATGAAAACATTGAAATTATATTATTTATTACAATTATTTTCATATTTATTTATGAACAAAATAATTTAGTTTAATTCAATATAATTTGAATTTTATTCAATGGATTTGAACAGCGATTCAATTGATGCCAAAGTCATTAAGGTTGGGTATGTATTTAACCATGTTACTACAAACATAATATCTATAACCAGTTAATTATATTTAAAACATTTTAAATTCTATTGAAATTTGTCAAAAATAAAGATTTTTTAAATAACTCAATCTATTAACTGTAAGTAAAATTCAATTTATAACTACAAAAGGTTTAAACAATTAAAATAAATATTTTTCAATACAAAAATAATAAAAATTCTATTAAAGTTTGTCATCGCTTTAGTTTATTGATTAAAGTCTTATCATTAGACTAGAGATTAATTTTTTCATCAATTGTTTATCCACTCGTTTAGTTGTATATTAGGCTATAATTAAATATTAATTCAAATCTAGAGCACAATTACTAAAACCTCAATATTGAGACTATACAATACAATTCGGGACTAAAAATGCCCAGATCCAATTAATAATCGGGAATAAATTATTGAATACTTCGATTAAATTTGTATTGAATTCTGACATAAAGAATCAATTTTCTGATATAACTATAATTTTGTTTTAATGTTTGGGATCTAAGAGAAAGTCAAGCAAATGAATCGTTTGGTGTATTAAATATTGCGGCCAATAGTGTTTCATATGATATGAAACATCAAAATCGTGGCAAATGTGTTGTCTTTAATCACCGAAAATTCGACAAATCGGATGTTAAGCCCCGACCGGGAACTGATAGGGACGCCGAAGATGTTATCAAATGCTTTAAAAGACTGCAATTTGATGTGATTTGTGTAAATGACGGCACTTTTAGAGATATTAAACAAACAATGACTAAAAGTGAGTAAATTTACGTTTAAAAAAAAAGCATTATTTTAAAGATATGTATATTTGAAACCAATTCAGTGGCGACCGAAGACCACTCGGACAGCGACTGTGTGGTAGTTGTGGTGCTAACACACGGCGACGAACAGAGCCTTTGGGCCCGAAATGCCAAATACCCGATCGACACATTGTTTGCATACTTTACCGGAGATCGTTGTCCAACACTCGTAGGCAAACCCAAAATATTTATCATTCAGGTTTTTATACCAAATGAATAAATATAAAATTGGAAAACTATGTAATGATTACACCGATTAAGGCATGTCGTGGAGAAGGCATCGATTCTGGTATTAAAATGAAAACTCTTGGTGTGGATGAAGTGGATAGCAATCATGAAATTGTCTATAAAATCCCAACAATTGCTGATTTCCTTGTCTACTACAGCACCGCTCCGGGTATTCACAGATGTTTCAACTTTTTATATAAAGTATTGTTAATAATATGTAACTTTAAAATTAAGGTCACTTTTCTTTCCGAAATGTGGAAACCGGATCCGTATTTATTCAAGAATTGGTGTTAGCGTTGAATGAATTCTGTTATAAATCAAACCATGATTTGTTAACTCTCTTCACAATTGTTAACCAAAGAGTTGCCTATTATTTCGAGTCCTATTCGCCCGACAAAAAGGCTTACCATAAGAAGAAACAAATACCGGTTAGACATAGAGTTTGTCATTTCGTTATTTAATAATTTAATTACAATTGCAGTGCATTTCATCGATGCTGACGAGATTGATATACTTTATGCCTAAACCACACAAATAATAATAACCATCACTTTTGGTATTAAATTAAATTTTAATTACTATTTACATAATTTCTCATTAAATTTTTCATTTTCTTTATTTATACAGTACTATCTTATATACGGATCACAACATTAATGCATTATTTAAATCCAAATAGAGTTTCAAACAAAATGATTAATATTAACATTTTAATAATAAAAATAAATACAAATATTTTAATAAAAAATTATTTATTTTATATAATGTTATAATTTAGTGTCAAATATGTTCACAATTGCAGTCATTCTCGTGGAAACTAAATACTCAAAACAATATTTACCTAAAATTTAATGTCAAATCCAATAGTTATTGAGTGCCAAACAGTTTCTTCAATTCCTTAAGAATGGGATGTCTTTGTTTGTGGCCATCAATGAGTTGTTTGCCTAAACCTAAGAGAATGGGAGGAATAGTGTGGGAATGCCTTCTGTTATCGGTTAAAGGTTTGACACCTTTCCGCTCGAGGACTGACGGACTTACGTTACGGACCCGCAGGCGAACTGTATCTACCTTTGGGTGCCGTTAGTCCTCAAGTCATGGCATTAAC